GGAGGTGGCAGGCTCCGCAGTTCCAATCAGACTCTTCCCACCCCACAGCATCCTGATTAGGGTCACCCCCCTGGTCCTGCTAGCCAAGCTCTCAGATCTGATTTGGTTTTCATATACCATAGCCTGTTGTGATTGTTGGCAGTCTTCCAGCCACCTACTGTTCCTGGTGGCCCCACAAGGCTGGAGTTGAGGCACTGAAAACAGTGCACCAGGTGATGGTTTGAGGCCCAAGAGCTAACCACACAACCCTTCCAGTCTCAAAGTCATTGTAGGCTAGTCCCTAATTGATGGAGGTGGGTCATTTGTCTGATGTGGGAGTGATTTCTTATTAATAAAGAAACTGCCTAGACCCATTTGATAGGCCAACCCTTAGGTAGGCGGAGTAAACAGAACGGAATGCTGGGAGAAAGAAGCTGAGTCAGGGAGTCGCCATGATTCTCCCACTCCAGACAGACGCAGGTTAAGATCATTCCTGGTAAGCCAGCTCGTGGGCTACACAGATTAATAGAAATGGGTTAGATCAATATGTAAGAGCTAGCCAATAAAAAACTGAAACTAATGGGTCAGGCAGTGTTTAAAAGAATACAGTTTCCGTGTAATTATTTCGGGTAAAGCTAGCTGGGTGGCGGGACACAGCCCGCCGCTCCGTAACACAACAGAATGGCGCCCGACGTGATGGACTAAATCCACTTAAAAACCTGAGAAGGCTTAAAAATAAGGGAGAGAGACTTTAACACAGATTTTTGCTGTTTGTTGGTGGCGTGCTGTAGAGAGATTTCCTGATTCGGCAACAGCAACAGAAAAAAAAGCTGCGTCATTTTAAACTGCGGCTTCTTGGGACTGTGCCGGCAGTGCAAACTCTGGCTTTAAAGCATTTCAATGGATTTTATGGGACTGGATGTTTGTGTTCCCGCTTGGGATCGGAAGGAGAGTGCTCTCAGCGCTCCCCGCCTGCACCTGGGCAGATGGCAGAATCAGGCTTAGGCAGGCGGAAGAGCATGGTGAAAGAGACGTGTTTTCAGACTGCGCAGTGCTCTGCGTGTCAGATTTGGTTGTAACTTGGATAAAAAGAGTTTCTGTGCTGCATGCTCAGTCTCAAAATTAAACTACTGAGTGCGGCTCCAATGAGGACTTGCTGTGTGCCTGGAACTGTGCACAGCTCAGGGGCACCAAATGGATCTGAGGCAGGAGAGGCTGCTCCTTGCTGAACTGTGCTGGTTGGCAGGAACTACCGTAATTACCATAATAACAGCACAGTTAAGGTTTAGACTGGGCAGGACACAGGTGGTACCGTATTACCTGTACATGGTGCAACTTAAGTTTTTAAGAAGTGCTTAACATTTTAAGAAATGCTCCTGGATAGTAAAAATATTACAGATTCACAATAAAACAGATTCAGACATAACAGACCTCAGTGGATCACAGCGTTGGATGAATGTACATAGGCTTGAGAGAGAGAAGAATAAGAATATAGAGAATAAAGCAAATGTCTTAAAAAAAAGGGTAAAGTCTTTAAAGAGACAGAATACAGATAGTTAAGAGATTAAATAAAGAAAAATAAGCCACGTAAAAATGGAAAATTCACAGAGAGTCTGGATTATGTACATTGTGTTTTCTTTAAAATTTTTGACTATGAAGGAGCTAAGTACAGAGAGACATTTCATTCTATGGGCTGCCAAGTGGAACCAAAACGGATATCATGAGGGTATGACTTCAGAATTTGGGTCTAAGGATATGATGCTTTGGAAAGGGTCTTCTTTTGTTTTCACAGAGGACCAGACCCTGTGGATTTCTTCTATTACAATTTGGTATGATAGACCACGCCCTCCTGAAAGGTTGTTGTAAACATCTTCAGAAAATTGCTTCGCTAAACTGCCAACTGAGATGAAACTAGCACACAGGTTATACCATGAAAGACCTAATTAACGACGCCCCCATTCAGCAGGAAGCAGTTTGGAGAGAAAAACTGCGCCCATGTTCCCAAAATATTGTTTATAAATGTTCTTTTACATTTAAAGGGGGATATGATATAGGTATGAATAATTTGCATTGGTATGGATTTTAAGGTCAATTTTGTTATATGTATATGTATTTTTGATCTTGAATAAGGTGTGATTGTGTAGTTCATTTTTAAAATGTAATGTATAATTAGGAAATATAGGTTGTTGATGGATAATCATAAATAATAGTCAAGTTTGTGGTCATGTTACTTAGATTTTCTAGATATATAGAGATATATTTCAGATAGGCATTCTTCATCTCTCTCAAAGGCTACAGAATATGGCATTTAAAATATTTTAATAACTTAGGACTTTTCATGACAATGAGACACGTCTGCTCCTGGCAGCACCAATCTACTTCGAGAGAAAGATGGGCATCAAAGAGGATCCTTATGGAGTTTGATAGCCATTTGGGCAAGAAACTGCTCTTGCCTGGACTGTTGCATAAAATGGACACAGAGAACCCGCAGAGAGAGGACTGCTGAACTTGCCTAAAGGTGAGATGGTCTTTCGGGGTTCATGACTCATGAAAGAGTCTGAGAGACATTCTACAGGACACAACAAATAATGACTAAACTGTCTTTGGAATTTCCTGCTTCATGAAAATGTCTGCTGGATACTTTGGGCCTGAAGGCTGAAGATGGATGCCCCAAAGATACAAAAGAACTTTGGGTGACTGTCCAGGCAGCAAAATGTCTCTGTCATTTCTAGAGTTTTCTTATTTCTTGTTTACTTAGGTAGTATTATATCCTTCTGGAGTCTTTGATGGAGTTGAAAAATGAATAGATAGTTATAGTTTTCCTTAGTTATGATAAAAGATAAAATAGATATAAATATTGTAACTGTAATTCTTGCTTGATAACTGTTTTGCTATATGTAATTTTACTATGTTAAAGTTAAAGCCTTTCTTTTTTGTTTAAACAGAAAAAGGGGAAATGATGTGGGAGTGATTTCTTATTAATAAAGAAACTGCCTAGACCCATTTGATAGGCCAACCCTTAGGTAGGCGGAGTAAACAGAACGGAATGCTGGGAGAAAGAAGCTGAGTCAGGGAGTCGCCATGATTCTCCCACTCCAGACAGACGCAGGTTAAGATCATTCCTGGTAAGCCAGCTCGTGGGCTACACAGATTAATAGAAATGGGTTAGATCAATATGTAAGAGCTAGCCAATAAAAAACTGAAACTAATGGGTCAGGCAGTGTTTAAAAGAATACAGTTTCCGTGTAATTATTTCGGGTAAAGCTAGCTGGGTGGCGGGACACAGCCCGCCGCTCCGTAACACAACAATTTGTCTGTTGCTTTCATTGGTTAATTAATAAAGAAACTGCTTGGCCTTTAATAGGACAGAAAATTAGGTAGGTGGAGTAGACAGACAGAATGCAGGGAGAAAGAAGCCGAGTCAGGCAGTTGCCATGGTTCTCCGACCCCAGAAGGATGTAGGCTAGAATCCTTCCTGGTAAGACACCATCTTGTGGTGCTACACACATTATTAGAAATGGGTTAAAGTAAGATGTGAGAGTTAGCCAGTAAGAGCCTGAAACTAATGGGCCAAGCAGTGTTTAAAAGAATACAGTTTCCGTGTAATTATTTCGGGTATAAAGCTAGCCGTGCAGGCGTCCAGGTGCCAGGAATGTAGCCCGCTGCTCCTATTACAACACCTAGTGTAGAGCTTTATGCTGATGAAGAAAGGTATTGGGCACAGGCTTCTCAGGATGTGGAGGAGACAAACTAGACTGCCAAGAGGGCAGTGAACCATGAGGAAGACAGAAGGAGACAGTTGGGCTATGCTGGCGTCCAGACATCCAGGGTTAGGTGCAAGCTGTGGGGGATGGGGAGAGGTATCAGGAATAGGGAAGGTGAGAGACTAGGGACACCCTCAAGCCAGGTTGTCAAGGGAGTGAGGCTGAGGGTAGACGAGGCTGCGCTGAGGAAGCCAGGCTTGGGGTGACTGGAGGCAGAAGGAGTCAGTGGGTGCCTAGTTGCTGGTCTTCCCAGAAGTGAACAGGTAGGGAAAGGAGCAACTGTTGGTAGCTTCTGGATAGTGGCTGGGGATGGTCAAGGTTACCCAGCCCAGTGGAGGGAGGGCAGGGCTATCAATCCCAGGTCTCTCTCCCTACTTGCAGCTCTTTGAGGAAATCCCCTTGCCCATGGCTTCTTGGCTTCTTGTACTAAGGCCCCATAGGCACCATCTGAGCTCAGCAGCAGGGTTAGTTGTCACCTGGTAGAGACAGGACCACTTACAGTAGGTCCAGGGGTGCAAGTGAAAGGCAGCCCCACCAGGAATGCACAGGCGGTTTTTCCCCCACTAATAAAAAACCTCCTGCCTCTCCCCCAAGCTTCTCTGTATGTTCAAGCGTAGCGAAGTCTACAAAGGCCAGTCCAAACAACAGGTCAGGCTCCTTAGTTTGCAATCTCCACGCTGCTTGGGCTTCTGCACCCTCCTTATGCACCCCACAAACAAGGGGAGCCTCTCATGTAATCGAGCTATGTGGTTCTAGAATGATCTAGGAATCCAAATCAAGGTCCTTAGGGCTCAGAGGGCTGTCTCAGTCATTTTGTCTCCTCTGTAGATGACGTGGGGGGCCCAGGGTGCTTGTCTCATGCAGAGGAACCCAGTTCCTGGGTGGAACGACTTGAGATGGATGAACCTGTGTTCAATCCCTGTGTCTGCAAGGCCTCTCTGCCTGCCTCTGAGTGGCCAGTGGGCAGCAGTGTCCAGGTCTCTGCTCATAAGAGAAGACCTGGAGGAGCAACAGTAGAGGCCAGTAGAGGGTACTAAGGCTCCACCCCAGCTACACAGGGAATCTATCATGAGGAGGCCAGGTCAGACAGCAGAGGTTGAAGCCCAAGAGACACTTCTCCTGTGTCCCTCAGCAAGAACCAACCACAGGTTCAGCCTGGGTCTCAGTCCCAGTTCCTTTTAGCTCCAACCTGGGTTCTTCCTCCCAAGAGACTGAATCTGCCTCTGACCTCCTAAAGCAGCAAAGTCCAAACAAAGCTAAAGTTCCAAACAGAATGATCACTTTAATGACAGTATTAAAGACATCATCTGGAGGGGGTTGGAAATATGTGCAAAACAGGATGTAACTGGGCCTTTGCCATAACCTCCACCCACACCTAGGTCATATAAGTTCACACACTGACCACATTCTAGCTAGCAGGATGTGCTCTTATCAGAGGCCGAAAAATAAAACAAGATTTATGAAGAGGCCTGTGTCCAGGATAAAGACATCAGCAAAAGGATCTCCCAAAGGCCTGGAGGAGACTGAGGGTGCCTGTCATTGGGTTCCCACGCACAGGGTACTGTATTCCAGACAGTCGGTGGTACCAAGGATGTCAGGAACGGGGTGTGGAAGATTTTCTCTGGCCAGAGCATACAGTCCATTCTCAGTGGAGACGAAGCTGCCACGCACAGAGGCCAACCAGGGAAGCTGAGAAGACAGGCAGCGGGGGTTCGTTGGTTGGTACTGGTCTTCGGGGAAGAGGGATGAACACTGGGGCAGGTGCTGGTCATGGTGGACCATAACCTCACACAGAGGTGCTGAATCGGGTGGTGGTGGGTAGAGAGCAGCCAGGGATGCTTGGCTGGCAGGCTGTGGGGCACAGCTGGTGCCCCGCTCCAGAAACCATCCTTCAAGGCTCACCTGCGTTTGCATCTGTGCCTGGGTGCTGGTGGAGGACGGCTGAGAGTTACTGAAACACCTGGGAGACAGAAGAGGAGGAATCAGGGGCAGAGGGCAGCTAGCCAAGCAGTGTGGGAATGTTACTGGGCCTGTTCTCACCAACACTTCTGCCGCCGCAGGAGACAGAGTATAAAGATGAAACCAAATAAGAGAACCCCCAAGGTTCCAAAGATCCTGGTCAGGTCTCCTTGAAGAATGGGGCCTGGACTTGGGGTAGAGAGTCCTAGAAACAGAGAAAGGTGTCAAGATGGGAGGCCAGTGTCAAGGTCCTCCCTGTCTCCCATCTTTCCCCATACACACCTGGATCTGAGCTATTGAGGTCTCCACAGGCAACTCTGGAACCCTGAGGGAAGGTAATGAACTCACAGCAGAATGAGGTGTTGGCCAGGAGGTTTCTTGCCTTGGATTGTTCCAGGGTCAGAGTGAGAGAGATGCTATTTAAGGTTTCCCAGCGGACCTGGGAGGCAGGGGCCCACTTTTGGGTGCCAAGTTCTGGATGTAACACGGCTAGTTTGGTCATTCGGGCATCAACAAATCCTTCCCAACTCACTGTTACCAGAGAGATGATGTTGGTTCCTAAGACCCCACAGTGAACTGAGAGGGAGAAGGATGGGAGTTTGGGGGCCTCTATTTGGACTCGCACCCACACCACGGGGCTCCCTGAGAACAAAGACAGGAAGGTCAGTGGCTGTGTCCCCACACTGTCTCCTCCCCATGACTCTGTGTTTCTCTGGCTTCTCCACTCACCTTTAGAGTCACAGAGGGTCAGCAGCGATGAGAATAGGACCAGGGCCTGGACCTGGGCCATATCTGTTTCAGGGACGGCGTTTGTTCCTGTTCTCATGGCAGACGGTTTTCAGTGTCAGCAATTAGAGTTACACCAGTGGCTCCCCACAAGCTAGCCCTATTTCCTTTTTGAAGGCCCTATTGGTAATCAACTCGGGGTAGCAGGTTCCCCCACTTAAAGTTACAGTATCAGGATTTGCTTGCCACTTCCAGGATCTGCAATGATGGGGAAGCTGCAGGGGTTACTGCCATCAGTCAGCTCGTTGCCTCAGGGATAGGAGGGTGCATGGCTGCTCCTGAGGCATCCAGCCTTACCCAGGGAAGGGGCAGGGAATGGAGCTACTGGAGAATGCAAGATCTTACATCCAGGAAAGCCACCGGAGAGTCATCCAGGAGCCAGCCTGAACGACCCAGCACACTCTCCTTATCACATACTAGCAGTCTGCAGTTTGAGTCTGCAGCCCACTGTCCCTCCCCAGCTCCTGTCCCATGTCACCCAGAAACCCAAAGGGAGACTTCACTGGCCCCTTGTAGAGCTCTGCTTGTTGGCAGCCAACTTCGAGCTGCTTCGACCTGAAGCATGGTCACCTGAGACTTTTTGTTCATCTCCTCCATCCTGCTGACTCCCATTCTAATCAGCTGACTTCCCTCAGCCGCCCTTACCACCATCAACCCATTTATGTCCTCATCTTCTGGGAAGAGAGAAGTGACAAGTTGGCTGGCTTGTCATCCCATGTTGCCCTTGGCTTCACTGAAGCAGCCTAGGTAACCCAGACAACACACGGGTCACTCCTTCACTCGCCCACCCCTATTTCACTTGGAGCCAAAGCTTGACATCTCTCTGACATGTTCCGCCTCCCTTCTTGCCTCTCCCCACCCCCTATGTGGTAGCATGCTGTGTGCTGAAGATGGAGGTCCCAAGGACAAGTTGGCCTTTGCCTATGAATTCTGTCACAGAGGCAGTGAGTGGCCCCACAAAAATTGTTTTTCTTTCATCAAGTGTTGCTTCAAATTACTGTACTGTGCAAGGTCATTTACAGAATGCCACAAACTGGCCAGGGTGCCTCCGTGCAGGGGTGACAGGTGACCCTATCCAAGGTTCACAACATTATGTACTGAGAACCTGAATCCCAGGTCTGCCCCAGAGCCCAGCTTAGTATCTGAGTACTGTCTTGCCACTTCATCCTTGCCTCTCCAAGCATAAAAACCATTCCTCAGAGATGCCAACCAGAGTGGCCTCTGGGCCATTGCCCCCACAGTTCCCAGCCTGGCCAGCATTCTCTCCATCCTTTGATCTAAGGCCCAGAGGACATTTCTGACAGAGGCCTACTGTCATCAGTGAATGCGATAAAGCTGACTTACCTCAGAGAGGCCAAGCCATGTAGGCCACAGGACCTTTGAAAGTTCTCATAACAAAGTTAGAAAAGTTTTGAAAATTCCCAGCACCTTCCATTGAGCATCTGCAAGACTAATTAGATAATTAACTGGTTGGAACTTCTGAAACTGTCAAGCGTTCAGAATGTTTTAATGCTGTCTTTAATTGTCTTATTAGCTGTTAGGTTTCAGACCTGGGGCAAATGGCTGAGATGTCTGTCCATTGATCTATCAAAGTGGACCTGACCACTAGGTTCTCCCTGTGTCTCTCAGTCCCTATCTATTATAGGGCTTTCCTGGCTAGCTTACCCCACCCTACCCTAAATTCTAGCCCAGGGGCTGGGCTGCCCTTCCCTATATAATCTAACCATTTTGTCTATCTAGTCCTTTTCTTCTACTCTTTTTTGGGCCTCCTGGATGCTGCACCTGTTTCTCCTCCCTCCCCTGCCCTGTTTTCCCTTCTCCTTTCCCTTCCCTCCCCTCCCCTCGCCCCACTCTCCCTTCCCCTTTCCCTTCCCCCTTCACCTCACGAGGCTCAGGGCCATGTCCACTCAGAACTCTCCCAGATGTCCCTGCCTCTGACTATGCTCTTCCATGTATCTATAACAAACTTTCTCCTCCACCTAGGAGCGGTCATGTTCCTCTCCTCTTTCCTTCTTTCATTCACGCAAAGCATTCAGGTCTTTCCTGGACAGATGGGACGAGCATCAACCAACTTCTCAGTTCAGATGTGGAAGTCTTCTCAAAGGCACCGCTTCCACCAGAAGCCCTGACTACCACAACCCGGTCTCCTTGTGAAAGTAACCAGATCTTTCCTGAGTGTCCTTGTGCTTTCTGTCTGATGGCTTGACCTCATGCAGAGAGAAAAACAGGCAGTGGTTTTAATAAGACTCAGTTCCTGAGGTCCAAACACAGGGTTCTGCATGGCCCAGTCCATTTTAATCCAGAATATTGGGGATCAGGGGGTCAAGGCACCTGATGACCTGTGTTCAATCACTGGGTCTCACATGGTAGAAGGAGAGAAAGAACTCCTGCAAGTTGTCCTCTGACTTCTATATTGCATGCGAGGATGTGCAGCAAAGTAACTGAAGAATGTCCTTATTATAGATAAGATATGAGGGCTAAAGTTAGCTCTTAAGTTTAAGTTACTACTCTTAAGAGATCTATAAAACAAAAATACCTCTACTCTGTAAGCCCCACTTGCCCGAGGACAGATAATTTTCTGGAATGCTGGGACTGTTGTTCATGTAAGATAACAAGTCAGGTTTTCACTTTTGTAACCAGGTTGGTTGCCCCAACTGTACAGGATATACTTGGTCACGTGCAGGCAGGAGGCACATAAGCAGGATGTATAAAGGTCGGAAGCACAGAGCCGTGTGGGGTTTGCCTTTGTAATAAACACCTGACTAATGTGATTGGAGGCCATGTTGTGGGAATCCCCAGTATGGACCTGGTCAGTGTCTGTCATTCTGAACAGTATTTAATAAAACCAACTTCAAATTTGGCTCAAAAATTGTGGTTAGTGGGGCTGGAGAGATGGCTCAGTGGTTAAGAGCATTGCCTGCTCTTCCAAAGGTCCTGAGTTCAATTCCCAGCAACCACATGGTGGCTCACAACCATCTGTAATGGGGTCTGGTACCCTCTTCTGACCTGCAGGCATACACACAGACAGAATATTGTATACATAATAAATACATATTTTTAAAAAATTGTGGTTAGTTGTCTTAGTCTCCCCTGGTGGAATTAACAAAGGGAGCAAAAATGTCTAAAGGCATCTAGAAGAGCCCAAAACAGAGAGCAGAAATGTCTAAAGGCATCTAGAAGAGCCCAAAATAGAGAGAAAAGGTGGTGGACTGGACAACACCAAAGCTAGGGAAGCAGGAGAGAACAGGAAAGATAGCAGGAGACGGAATAACAAGAGGGATGGTGAGAACAGCAAGAGCAGGGGTGTAAAGAGAGCAGGGATCTAAGATGAGGAGGGCCAGCGGGCACAGGGACTTGGAAATGTGTAACAGGAACTTGTGAGTAGGGACCAAGGGAACCTGGAGGCCAGCGTGGACTTTGATATGCAATCACAGGTGTGTGTCCATGGAGAGCCACATGTTTATTTTGCCAGAGGCAAAGAAAAATGACTCCTTTCGATGGACATGAACCATTTCACAAGTTCCTGGGGGGAATGCTGGCTAGTTCTCTCCCTCCCTCCCTCCCTCCCTCCCTCCCTCCCTCCCTCTCTTCCTCCCTCCATTTCTCTCTTTTACTCTCTCTCTTCCCCCCATACACCCCCTCACCCTTCCATACATCCCCCCCAACACCCACTAAATAAAGTCTTCATACCCAAGTTCTCTCTTCATGGCTTATCTGTCTGACCCTTACCTACCCTGGTCCCACACCACAGTGGGACCTTCCAGGGGCACTCACACCATAAATCATAACAATAGCCAATTGTGATTTTTTTCTTGTGCTTTTTCTCCTTTTCCTTCCTGCTAGGCAGAGCCATCTCTGAGGAAGGCCCTGACTTCAGGAGAGCTGTGACTGGAGGAAGAGTGAAGCTGATATTGTTGGCCCAGCGCTTGCTCTTGATTCAAACACTCAGCTTCCTTCGGGAAGCCTAGAGAATCTGTGGTTCAAATAAAATGCTTGGGAGAGGGCAGGGAGGAGAAGTGAGCTCATGCCACAACTCAGAATAGCATTTGAAGGAAGAAGGTGTGCCAGAAGTGGGGGGAAGCCAAGCAGATTCCTGAAGCCAGATCTGGCACCTGCCCTGCTCATACTGTGTAGACTGAAGCCCAGAGGCACCTCACTCCGCATGCCTTGGCACAGCCTTAGGGAAAAATAAGAAAGCTAGAGACTCAGAAATTAAAATTTCCACCCACTGGGCAGAAGAAGGGCTGAGATCTTGGAGGGAAATGAAGCTGTATTTCTGCCCCTCTGAGCTTGTGGACTGAGGCTTGTAATTACTACATTTTACTTTTACATATATTTTCCTTTTGTATGTGTATTTGTGTATACACATGTGTGCATGTGTTGTGCAGGTCTGTGGATGTGGAGGCCAAAGGTCAGCATCATGTGTCTTCCTCGATCACTCTCCATCTTAGTATCTAAGGCAGGGTCTCTCACTGAACCTGGAGCTGACCAATTTGGCTCCCTAGGGCTGGGACTGCAGGTGCATGTGCCACACCTAGCTTTTTCTTTCTTTCTTTTTTACATAGGTTCTGGGGCATTGAACTCAGGTCCTCATCCTTCTTTAACAATCTGTTTATTAACTAAACCATCTTCCCAGTACCATTTTATTAAATTAATATAAGTAGTGAGAGATAAGCAGCTGAATGTGTACCACTACGCTAACTCTGTCCAGGGCCGAAAACCAATGAATCTTGGACTTCCTGGACCCTAACAAAAATGTTATCACCCTCTCAATATCACAGCATTAACTATCATGCTGAACGTCCTCTTTCTCTTACACAGATAACTAAATATATGTATATATGGGCTTTCTTACCCTTTCTTCACAGCATCCTTCTGTCATGGAGCTGACCAGCTGATTTCTGTTGTAATAAGCATGGCTTTCTCTCTTCCTCTTTATCTCCTTCCTCCTGGCAACTGTTCAGGTTCTCAGCCTGTCTGCTGTGTTGTTTTTCTCCTAAACTAAGAAAATTATTCTTGAGCTTAAATATATGCCTCACA